CATTATTTATAAGAAAGTAAGAGCGGGTGTTGTTGGCAATACTTTAGGGTATAGCTTTCAATCTCGTACCTTACAAAGTGAAACCTCGAGGGCAAGAAAAGGACTACCAATACAACCTAGGTATGTCTAAAAAGAAGTTAACCAGGCCTCCTCCATTAACAAAAAAGCAAAAAGCGATAAAATGGAACAAAAATCCCCGAAGACAGACCACAAACAAACTGGCCGCCAGAGAGAAACGTCGGCTGATGCGTGTGCAAGCTGCACCAGCCGCAGTGCATCCAAACCAGCAAAAATACTCCCTTACCTGGGGGCAAGACAGTAAGCCCAAGACCCAAGATGCACCCCAAGGGTGAAGACAACCTCAAGCAAAGAAATCCTCAACAGGGAGTGATTTCCGAATGCCCCCAGCAAGATAGCCCTGAAATGCATGGGTAATACTTACGGAGCACTTAGGGAAAGTAATTCTAGATACATGCAGCTCCTATACACTAAGACACTTGGCCACCATACCACACACACAACTGCAACAGCCTCACAGGGCAAAAATCCAAATCAGGTATTTGAGGCCAGAAATGATGTCCGACCACCAGCACATCAGTTAAAGAACTGGGGTGGTGGGCCGGCTCCCCCTCCCCTTTTAAGGGGGGAGAAGTGCTAATGAGTATGAGTACTAGTTGGATGAAGTGTTGCTTGTTTGTTTTCTTCCTGGGGAGAGTTCTTTTGTCCTTTTTGGACATAGGTGGCAATTTTACCAGATTATGGTCTGTTTTGTTTTGCCTATCTTTCTGGCTGCCCTCCTCGGTCGATGGCAGTTATGACACACTTAAATGTAAAGTGCTTGTAGACCATTGCTCCCTGTGCCTTTCTGAGTGGGCCAGGTTCAGGCTTGTGGTTCCCGGTAGGCAAAAGGGCTCCTGTGACTGATGACCCTAAATTAATAAAGCACTATATATGTTCGGATAGCTACAGGGAGCTGACAGGGTTCCCCACAGAAACTCCACTTGAAGTCTTTCCAAACAACACAGACAAAGCTCCTTGTTCCAAAGAAAGAGAGGGGCCAAGCTTAACAAGCCTGGGCAAGCAAAACATGCCAAGTGGAAATATTCATGAACTGCTGCATTCAAAGTCAGAGCAGGCCAAGACCAATAGAACACAAACCCTTATGAGTTCCCAAGAGTAGGAGAGGCCACACAAAAACACCCTCCACAGAGGGTAGCAGAACCCAGGAAGGCTGAAGGGTACCCAAGATCAGCCTTGGGCTCCCCCCTCCCTAGCCCCAGAAACCCAACAAGAAGGCTCTGAGGTAGAGTCGAGCTCCATGCTACAGGACCAACTACACACCAACTACAGGAATCTGAGCCAAAAATCCCCCAAAAAACGAAGGAAATGGTTCCCCAGTAGGAAGCAATGGCTCAATTGCTATCGATGTCAAAGTGGATGGGGTGATTCCTGAAGAAGGCCGAGCTACACCCCATGCAAAATGTACCCCAGGCTCTGAAACCTAGAAACACCACTGGATCCAGAGTGAAGGTTAGGGTAAGCTAGGATAGGCTAGGCAGGTAGTTCCAGCAAAAGCAGGATGAACAAAGAAGGAAAAAGAAAAGGGGAATTAACACTTGCCGCTCTTAAACCAAAACTCCGAAAAACAAGGGCAAATTCAGCGAAAAATATAGGTAAAAATATGTAAGTAAAATATATTGAATCTTCACATTTTCCATTTGAAATATAGTTTGATAGATTTGTGTCTCTCTCTAATACTGTACTATTTAAACTCTCTGTACAATTTAGCTACAAATTACACAAATTAATTTTCAGCTAAAGATTAAGCAGTACTAAATAAAAATTTGAGCATAGTCAGAGTAAGTAAGGTGTTAACCATTAACCCTCAAACCGCTAGGGGCCCAAATGGAATTCACACCCACAGGCGCAAAAAAAAAAAAAAAAAAAAAAAAAATTCTTTCGTCTTATAGAAGTGTTTATTTTTGTTCCCTGATCACGGAAAAAATAACAAAAAAATCGTAGGTGGCATATTTTAGCTGCAGTAAGGTAGGGAAGTGTGGCAAAAAAGGGGTGTTGGCAGAGCCTTTGCCAGATGAGGTCTACTCCGCCCGAGCTGTCAGACGGCAGTTGCCACAAATATATTATTACCTAATTATTTGAATGTCTCTGATTGATTTTTTCTTAGTTTTTTGAAGTAATATTATTCCATACAGTGAATTTTGGTATATTTATATAATAAAATGTGTGAACCATCGTTGTACTCAAAATTATGGTGTGCATATTAGTGATTCAATTACAGTGGCAACTCGACATACAATTGCCCCTACTTACGATAATTTCGAGTTACGATGTAAATTTCATCGAAAAATGCGACTCAACATCCGATGGTGTCGTCGACTTCCGATATTTGTTGGTACACGTTCGGGTCGACCGAGCGTGTGGTTCCCAGTCACGCAGCCGATCTGCCTCACTTTACTACAGCTGCCCGCTTAGTGACGATCGCGCCTATAAGAAATTCCGCTTTTGTGGTGATTTTTTGCATTTTGAACATTAAAGTAATTATTATATCATGCCATGAGTCCCAGGAATGTCAGTGGTAAGACTCAACATATAAAAACCCATGTAAGGATGACCATAGAGCAGAAACAAGAGTACAGAATGTCTCTTCCTCAACAATTAAGAAAATGTGTGCAGCATGGGAAGAATTGCAAACATTTGCTGAAACGACTCACCCAAATCAAGCTGCAGTAGGTCGTTGCCTTAACCTATTCAATGACACTGTGATGCATATTTACAGACAAATGTTAAAACGAAGGGAAAAACAAATGTCTCTTGACAAATTTGTAGTGAGACTAACAAGCACTGAACCACAACCAGGTCCTAATGGTGTTCAGGCAAAACATAGGAGACAGAGTACCCCAGAGAAAACATCACTGCCTGATGTGATAATGGAAGGGGACTCCCCTTCCAGACAGGAACAACTCTCCTCCTCCCCCCTCATCACCATCTTCCATACGCCATCAAGAGCCCTCCATAAAGGTAAGAGACACTTAGGTACTGCATTGTAGTTAGACAAAACATTGTATTCAGTATAAAATGTATTTGTATGTTAATATTTTGGAGGGTGGGGGAACGGATTAATTCAATTCCCTTTATTTCTTATGGGAAAAATCGCTTCGACTTACGATATTTCAACATACGATCCGTCTCTGGGAACGGATTAGCATCGTAAGTCGAGGCCCCATTGTATTATGTTCATAAAACAATAAACAAATAGTTTTGCTGTTGTTACACTATATACACCAGTTATATATAAGTATCTGCATGTTTTGTTCACCATAACGAACTACTAAGTTGGTCTTGTGAGTCAAAAAGCAATGAGGAGTGACTGCCACACACCAGCGAGCCACTCACTGCCACTCCCTCCCTCAACACCACCTCACTCGCCCTCATTCTCCTCCCACAATACTGTTTTTGCATTTATTCACTATACACAGACGTTATATATATGTATTTACATGTTTTGTTCACCATAACTGTACATCTAAGCTTGTATGGTGAGTAAAGGCCATAAGACGTAGCTACTCACACAGTCAGCTGATCGGCGGCCGCCCTCAAGGCCAGACGCACTAATATTTCTCCTCCAACAATATTGTTTGTGGTGTTATTAGGCTATATACACACATTATATATAAGTATCTACCTGTTTTATTCATCATACCTGTACAAATAAGCTGGTATGGTGCCCAAAGACCATAGTGGCAACAGTAAACAACATGACAAGTCGTGCAGACGACGCTCCTCCCTCACCAAAATGGCGGCTCCCAACCTACTCCTCTCGCTGTTATCTCACACTATACACACGTTATATATAAGTATCTACATTTGTGTTCACCATAGCGAACCACTAAGCTGGTATGGTGAGTGTAGTCAATAAATGGTGGCCACACACAGTCAGAAGACGACGCCACAACCCTCCCTCCACAGCCTTACTCCTCCCTCCATGGAGCACAGCGCTAAATATCACTACAATCCTGCTATTATCAGAATCCTGGTCAGTTTTATCACAGTCAGGGGGCTTCAGTAATACTATCACTGCTAAATAATAGCAGTATCATATATATTATGGCATTTGTAAGCGCTGCTGTGGTCACAAGCTGAACAGCGGTGCTGTGAGCTCATGCTGCGTGCGCCAGCCTTGGTGGCTTGCTCAATACTGATGCTCTAACACCCAAGAGTGTTGGCCTGAATTTTTTTCTAGGTGGCATCTGGCAACTATCGGTCGTGGCTGTACTATAGCTGCTCCTATCCCAGGCGGGGCGTTTAAATTATAGCGCTAGACACGAAATCATATATATATGATGTGCGAGGTTTCGTTTTTTCACTCTCTGTTTGGTTTTTTGTTTTAGTTTCTTACCATGTGGGGTTTGTTTTGTTATGCTTACCTTTCTGGGTGCAAACCCCGGTCAATGGCAGATAAGAAAAACCCCAACCACAAGGGGGTTTTCCAGGGCCATTGCTCCCTGAAACCTCTCTGAAGAGGCCAGGTTCTGGCGCTGGTCCCTGGTAGGTCTGAACTCCTTAGCTAATGTCCCGGTCTAATATAACATACATTAGCCCGATAAGCTCCGGGGAGCCTCCGGGGCTCACCCAGAAAATGGTGTTTCATTACATTCAACGCTGTTTTTTTGCCAGACTTCCCCCACCCTATTGCGGCTAAAATATGCCACCTACAATTTTTTTATTATTTTTCCCGTGATCAGGGAACATAAATGAACATTTTTATAAGACGATTTTTTATTTTATTTTTAAGCTTGTGGGTGTTGAAGGCCAAATAGCCCAGAGCAGCTTAGGAGTTAAGCACTAGTGGATTTGGGGCCTGAAATTTCCCAAATACAGGATAATGAAAAATATTAATATTTATTTCTGATCTCAATAGCAGAACTCCTACCAAAAAAAAAATTAAATTTTAGAAACTTCATTTAGGGGTCTTGACTAACCTTGAGAATCTCTAAGCAAGAATGGTGGAAGTATAACTAATGTTGTATTTCCCAGCTTCAGTCCATTCAGTGAGCAGCTGTAAGTTGTGTCAAGGAAGCTTTTAGTCACTAATAAACCCAGAAGCCCATCTTTAATATATGGATAATAAGTGGCATCTTGTGTTAAAGTTTCATTACCAGAGGTTATCTGGATGTCTAGGTCAGCATCAAACCAATCCATCTGAGAAAATATATTTTTCATCAAATTAGTAAATGTAAGAAAAACTAAACATATCTATTAATTAATTTCTTAACATTACATTGATTACATAGTAAACTAATATATTTACACCTAATATTTATTATACCTTAAGTAAAATGTCAACATAGAGCACCGAGTATAATGAAATACCACATTTTCTACAGCATTTCAGAAGCTTCTGGGATGTTATGGTATTGATATTGCAGAGCCACACACCACATTATTAGGTTCCTGAGACTTCCTCAGCTGACTAGCAGTTATGACTAGAGAGAAAGATGAAAAATGAATACCCATAGGAGAATTAGGCAAGTGACCAGGAGCTGGGTAAAGAAGCGGAGAATACCAATGTAGGACTTGCCCACGCACTATTTAAGCATGGAGAGGTCATAAGTCACCAAATAGCCATAATCCTGATAAGTGATCAGAAACCCCAAGCCCGAAGAGGAGCAGAAGACAAACAGCGTACCAACAATCTAACATGGCAATATAAACTCAAGGAAACCAAAGGGAATAAATCATAGACATGCTGGGAAGAAGCAATGGTACTACAAACATACAGAAAGGCCTCCAAGGACACACACCTGGGACATCCAAACAATATAAAGAAGTCAAAACCAAACACCAATCCAAAGCAGCCACCAAAGAGAGCCAGGGAGGGGCAAAACACTTGAGATGAAACAGAACTTTGACCTACTTGATACCTGCTTGATGGGGTTCTAAGAGTTCTTCTACTCCCCAAGCCTGGCCTGAGGCCAGGATTGACCTGAGAGTTTGGTCCAACAAGCTGTTGCTTGGAGTAGCCTGCAGGCCCACATATCCACTACAACCCAGCACTTCTTGAAGATAACTATCTAGTTTTCTCTTGAAGAGCACCACAGTTATTCTAGCAATGTTTTTTATACTCGCTGGAAGGATGTTGAGCAACCGTGGACCTCTGATGTTTATACAGTGTTCTCTGATTGTGCCTATGGAACTCCTGCTCTTCACTGGTTCTTTTCTGCATTTTCTTTCATATCATTCACTCCAGTATGTTGTTATTTTACTGTGTTGATTTGGTACCTGGCCCTCCAGTATTTTCCACGTTTACATATTTTGATATCTCTCTCGTCTCCTTTCTAGCGAGTACATTTAGAGAGCTTTGAGACGAACCCAATAATTTAGGTGCTTTATCGCATCTTTGTATGCCATATATGTTCTCTGTACTCCCTCTATTTCAGCAATCTCTACTGCTCTGTAGGGGAAATTGAGTACTGAGCAGTACTCAAGACAGAACAGCACACGTGATTTGAAGAGTACAACCATTGTGATGGGATTCCTGGATTTGAAACCTCTTAAAATCCATCCTATCCTTTTTCTGGCTGGCTGAAAATTTGCTTGGTTATGCTTCCTAAACATTAGGTTGTTCGACATTTTTTTTTCCCAAATACTTTACATGCTTCTTTCCTATTAAGGGCAAATTTGATTGTCTTTTGTACCCTGTATTATGTTTAACCACTGGGAGGTGCTTGCCTTAAGCAGTTGCTTGTTTTGATGCACATTTACTTTCTGGCAAGTGTTACATTCTTGGTTTTGTGTTGATCTTTGATACTCAAGCTTCTCTTGCCTCATAGAGAGCATCAGATTCTGGTTCTGGGTCCTAGTAGGCTCAAGTGGGTCTTAGAAGCTACTGTGAAAATGTCTGGTGCAATTCCCTAAGGCTTGAAAGCTCCAGTACTTTAGCATCTGAAAGTTATTGAGGGGGCCCTACCAGAAATACTTTATATGTAAATGATTTTCTTGCAGTGATAGAGGGATGAACTAATTACATAACATAGTAGTGTACACTATAACCAGTTTACAAATTTCAAATGGCAAATATTCTAGTAAAGAGACGACACTACATGAGTAGCTCTCATCCTATGACTAAACTTTAATAATTACAATTAGGTACTGTAATTACATCCACTATTTACTATATACAAATTTACTACCATTCAAATTATAATATCAAGTTAGAAATAAGCAATTCAAAAATATTCTTAAACGAGGTCAGCATTCAAATACCTTAACATCTACTTCAGAGGTCAAAGCACAGGGCAGAAAAGCAGTTTGGCCCTCCACTGCCACTACTTGTGACTCCATCAGGTTTTTAAAATCTGAAAACCATGCAGCTATTTAAATTATTTAACAAAATTAAAATTGTTACAATTAAAACAAATTAATGGTAATACATTATTAAAATCTTTTATTTTCAGACTCAGACAACATATATTCAGTCATAGTTGCAGTTCTGTGCATGCCTTGCTTGGTTACTCTCTTAATCACTGTGCTGCTCAGGCTCCAAATATAGCACCCCCTGTGCACAGGAAATTAATTCTTGGCAAAATTTTTTTGTTGTTTTTCAAAATGTTAAATATTCTTCCCTGATCACAGATATAAAAAAAAAAATTGTACTTTGGCCACAATGGCATCCGGAAAATGGAGTGTGATGTCATGATTTGGTGGTCGCCCGTGACGTAGACTCCAGGAGCCAGTTGCCCACCAGCTTCAACATGTGTGAGTTGCCACAAATATGTTTTTGTTCATTTTTTGCATACATTTCTAAATACATTTGTTTTGTTTTTTCTTGCCAATCCTATGTATAATGAACACATACACAATATTATGGCAGTAGAACATCTGTACTGTCTCAAGAGACTGTGTTATATGTGTCACAAATGTGTCCACATATGTTGCTCATAATACAACAACATATTTACACACTATACACTATCACACACTATATACATTCACTCAGAACTCCGCCAGTGTGAGCTGCCATACCCAGCCAGCCCTCCTTCACTCCTCCAACACCGTACTCACCAACAATCCTCCTTCCACCATACTGTTATTGTTTTTATTACACTATTTACACATATTATGTATAAGTATCTACATGTTTTATTCACCATAACTATGCAACTAAGCTGATATTGTGTTCAAACAGCCCAGTGGTCATCATACACTGCATGACAAGTCACACAGCAGACGACGCTACGAGTACGATGCCACCTCTCTCTCTCATCAAAATGGCTCCTCCCAACATACTCCTGTTGCTGTTATTACACTATATACACACGTTATATATAAGTAGCAGCAGTCTCCGTGGCATAGTGGTAAGATGCTCACCTGGCGTTCCGCGAACGCTTTGTCTTGGGCTTGTATCCTGGCCGGGGAGGATTTACTGGGAGCAAATCCTTAACTGCAGCCCTCTGTTTAACTCAACAGTAAAATGAGCACTTGGTTGTAAAAATGATTCTTCGTGGGAGTCGTATTCCAGGGAACCTAGGATTAAGGACTTGCCCGAAATGCTACGCATACTAGTAATTACCTAAGTGTAATTACCTAAGTGTAATGTAGGGGTCTTGTAGCCTGGTGGATAACGCGCAGGACTCGTAATTCTGTGGCGCGGGTTCGATTCCCGCACGAGGCAGAAACAAATGGGCAAAGTTTCTTTCGCCCTGAATGCCCCTGTTACCTAGCAGTAAATAGGTACCTGGGTGTTAGTCAGCTGTCATGGGCTGCTTCCTGGGGGTGGAGGCCTGGTCGAGGACCGGGCCGCGGGGACACTAAAGCCCCGAAATCATCTCAAGATAACCTCAAGAATTACCTAAGTGTAGTTACAGGATGAGAGCTACGCTCGTGGTGTCCCGTCTTCCCAGCACTCTTTGTCATGTAACGCTTTGAAACTACTGACGGTCTTGGCCTCCACCACCTTCTCACCTAACTGGTTCCAACCGTCTACCACTCTGTTTGCGAAAGTGAATTTACTTATATTTCTTCAGCATCTGTGTTTAGCTAGTTTAAATCTATGACCTCTTGTTCTTAAAGTTCCAGGTCTCAGGAAATCTTCCCTATTGACTTTATCAATTCCTGTTACTATTTTGTATGTAGTGATCATATCACCTCTTTTTCTTCTGTCTTCTAGTTTTGGTATATTTAATGCCTCTAACCTCTCCTTGTAGCTCTTGCTCAGTTCTGGGAGCCACTTAGTAGCATGTCTTTGCACCTATTCCAGTTTGTTGATGTGCTTCTTAAGCTATGGGCACCACACAACCGCTGCATATTCTAGCTTTGGCCTAACAAAAGTCGCGAACAACGACTTTTGTTAGGCCAAAGCTAGAATATGCAGCGGTTGTGTGGTGCACGAGAATTGAGGTGAGAAAACTGAAAAGAGTATACACATTTTATTACTGTTTCACACTCATAGCTAACGATCGCCCGATTTTTGTGTTTGGTGTGGGTGGCACACCAAGTTTTTGGACATCATATGTATATACTTCTGTGGGGAATTCTATTACAAACAATTTGATACCAAAATGAAACACGTAAAACGAAAATGGAGGTGAGAAAACAGAAAAGAGTATACACATTTCAGTGTTGCTGCACGTTCGCCGAAACGCCTGGAGCATGAACGGGAAGTCTAGGGGGCTCAAGCCCGAAGCGCAAAAGTGTTAATTAACCAGACAGTGGTGTGTTTAAAAAAAATGTGCCTACCTTTATGGATGCCTTCCCTGGTTGATGGCAATTATGATATACTTTAAATGTAATGTGCTCATAGGCCATTACTCTATGTGCCTCTCTGAGGGGAGCTAGGTTCTGGTTCTAGTCCCCAACAGGCAACAAGAACTTTACAACTAATGACCCCAAATAGAATAGCACTATATCAGTAGGATAGCTTCAGGCAGCCAATGGGCCTTCCCACAAAAATACATAATACATACCCTTTTGGAAGGTAAGTACCATAGTAGTGTTCAATGGGATGGATGTTGCAAAATTGGAAGCCTCGCAGCAATAATTCGCTGTTCTGTCAGATTCTTCAACTGTAATGTCAAGGTAAGCTTTGGAAATGTCCTTCACGTGTTCAGTCTTTGAGGGCAACTCCTTAGTATCCCTAAACCAAGTGAGTGTTGCCAGAGGCAGCCCGCCTCTACTGGTGCAAGTCAGTCTTATGGAGTCCCCAACTTGTACTTCCATGCTATCGTTATTTTCTTCAATCACAGGTGGCTCAGGTTCTGTATGTAAATAGATTTATAATGATAGTTTCCACAAAGTGATAGATTTTCAAATTAGCTAATAAGAAAAAAGAAGTAAATAATCCATTGCATACATAAACAAAAATCATGCATTGAAATCTGAAAATGATGACCACTTATATTCTGACTTATCTACTTCTTTTATATATTTTAAACCAAACTCAATCAGATATACAAGTAAGATTTTTGTAATATAAAATGTTTATGCAACTTTACATTAGAACATTATTTATGAATACTTTGACACCAAAATTATAGCTATAACACCAAAAATAAATTGGAAAAAATAAAAAGAGTATAAGCATCTTATGTGCTAGTGAGTGGTGCCACAAGTGGCCTGAAATGTTTATGTTTGGGCATGTGGCGAGAGGCCAGAATGCTAAACTGTTAATATAGAGTGCTTTTTAAATACACTACTTGAATGAAATAATAGACTAATACTGGTTTAATATATCTTTAAGGATTCTTATGTTAATAAATTGTATTAGCGCTTTATTCTACTTACAAAGTTATTGAAAGTTAAGAAAACACAGTAGGCCTACCTTGTGATTCACCAAACACATTGTATGTTAAGCCAGAGTTACTTCTTATATCAGCACATACTTCAGTTCCTGTCTGGATCATGTAGTATTGGTAATCTGTTTTTATCCCTGATTTATAAGTAAAACATTCGTATGGCATTTCTGCGTTGTCATCATTTCCCATAAAGTAGTGTGTTGAATCTTCACTCCAGTTGGCTACACATTTCAATTGTTTTGCTGTATTACAAAGACAGGATTTAAAATATAAATTTATATAACTACAATAGATGGAATAAAATTATAAAATATTAGTAATATTTTGAAAAAAATTTCAAGCAAGAAGCCTATCATATATTTTTATACTCTGACAATAATATAATAATTCAATAATGTACAATAATTCATTGTGTCAAGGGACAGGCAACCACTGTATGTATGTATGTATGTATGTATGTATGTATGTATGTATGTATGTATGTATGTATGTATGTGTGTACATATATATATATATATATATATATATATATATATATATATATATATATATATATATATATATATATATATATATATATATATATATATATATATATATATATATATATATATATATATATATATATATATATATATATATATATATATATATATATATATATATATTACACAAACAAGCCTGAATGGTCCCCAGGACTATATGCAACTAAAAACTCACACCCCAGAAGTGACTCGAACGCATACTGCCAGGAGCAACGCAACTGGTATGTACAGGACACCTTAATCCACTCGACCATCACGACCGGACATAAGGAGGTGATAGCCGAAGCTATTTGACCCCCCCCCCCGGCACTCGGTAATCTTAGGCATAGTATTTTATCAAATCACCTTTAGTTAACATTTCAGGGTTCAGGGAAAGATTTTGAGTTTTGGTTTCAGGGAGGGTCATATTGGGAGAGTGACAGCATTTTGGGCAAAGATATGACAATGACCTCATTCCCCCTAGTAACATTCATGATGATAACCACATTTGTACCATGAAATGGTAGCAGGATTTTTCATGGGTCAAGGCAGATCCATTGCATCTACTTGCTAATCCACTGCTAAAGCAGTGGCAGTGCTAATCCACTGCTAATATAATTGTATCCATATTTGCATCATATATGTATAACCTAGACAATAATTGTTTAAATCTAAATATGATGACGACCGCATTACACTGTGAATCAACAACTGACAATAACCGCTGTCTAAGCGTTAAAAGTAAATACAGTATAAGCAAAACAGAACTGTATGGTATTCCTATACCAAAGCTACCAAATAGTTAATATCTTTAGAAAACATTCATACTTACTGTGAATAGCAGCCTCTGGATGTGTATGATCTGGGCAAGGATTATACGAGTATAACAGTTCTGTGTCATTATTTATAGATAAGAGCCTTGAGTGTCTTTCACTGCACTTCCTATTTGGCATTTGGTAGATGAACGAGCGGGAGCCAGTGAATGGGCAGATGGCTGAGGAATTTTTGCGAACCATTACACGTACATGTTCAGTATTTTCTATTGTGGAGCAGACAGTATTTAAGTCTTTCGACTTAATACAAGAGGCTGTGGATAAGAAAATCTTGTCAATATGTGTTAAAGAAAAATCAGTTTGAATTTTTGTATTAAGTATAATGTCTGAAAAGATTATTATGCATGTCTACAAAAATCAGTGCTGAATAATCACTGTTTTAGCACTGAGCTACTGGGCCTAACACTGATTAAAATAACAAAATAATAAGTGCCAAATAAACCATATAATATAATGAAATACCCTTTTCTTGAGGACCCAAGTAGCTTACTGTACTTAACTCCGGTACCACCAATCATTAGCACAACATCAGGCCACTGAGACCCATCTAAATCTGGCTCACTATCAGATGAGGGAAGTAAGGGTGGGTCATCTGAGATTAACAATCAAACAAGTGAAACTCAATCAGAGAACATTTTAGGGTCCTGTCACAGTGGTAAGTGTAACTAGTTGATGCCTCTGTTCACCTAGCAGTAATTAGGTACCCCGGGACTTAGATTACTAGACTTCCCATTCTGGGAAGTTCAATAGTTAGTCAAGAGGGACCTTGATACAGCCTATCCTCCTAAAGTTCCTCAACGTCAAGAAAATGATCAATTTAAAGTGTCCTCTCCTAACCTACCAGAGGACCCAAACAGAAAATGGGACAGCTAGTATGTCACTTTCATGAGCCACTTCCAATTTCTAGTATGGCAATTTTTGCCCCTTACGTAATGCATACAAGTGAAAAGTGATGATCTTTGTAGGAGAACAGGTTGCTTGATAAGGTTACCAGGTTTTCTGTGCCTGATTATGAGAAACCATATTATGACAAAAGTGAATCCTTTGAGGAAATTAAGCATCCCTAAAACAAAGCAAATGATCATTGTCAGGGAGCATTTATCTGAAATGTGATGTAACCAGCCTCAGTTAAATGGCAGCACACACCTTCTGGGGTCACAGTCACCATACCCCTGGTGCAGGTTCGAATCCTCCGCATGGCTCCAACTGATTTCTTGTTGATATATCACGTTAATGTAATTTCTGTGTGTATTTGAAGAGTGTTGGTAGGAAGAATTCCTTTACCACACCAGAGTGTATGCAGGTAATATATAAAAACTGGATTTGGTATCAGCTCAATGCCTCGAGACCACTTGTGGATTCATTCGAATCCCAGTTTGCTTATAGCACATCATGGTTCAGTGGTTTAAGGCATGCACCTGGGATTACCCATGGTGTAGGTTCGAATCCTTTGAATGGCTCCAATTGATTTTTTCATTATTATTATTATTATTTTAAGGTGATAGTAGAGAAGCAAGGTGTTGACATCAGTGTTATTAGAAGCAGAGCCAGTGTAAGAATAAATACACTGACTTGGCACTGATCTCTATATAGTGTTATTGGAGGAATGTCCCTTCCAACCAAGAGAGGATGTGAATGTACAATGCTGGTTCTTTTTATGATTGGTTAGCCACAGAGCCAGGGGAATGTTTCATGAGTTGTGAACTTTCAGTACAATTGCATGACTATTTTGAGGTTATCTTGAGATGATTTCTTGGCTTAGCGTCCCTGTGGCCTGGTCCTCGATCAGGCCTCCTTTTTGTTACACATTCAAAAGAAGCAGCCCGTAGCAACTGTCTAGATCCCTCATACTTATTTGCTGCTAGGTGAACAGGCACATCAGCGTGAAAGAAACTATGCCCATTTTTTTCCGCATCTGCCAGGGATCAAACCCGGAACTTTAGGACAACGAATCCTGAGTGCTGTTCACTCAGCTGTCAGGCCCTTACAGACATATTGCATATGGTGCAGTATTATTCTTAAAGGGGTAATTACCCAAAGAGATACTTACCACTTAGGTAATTACCTCTAAGAATATTATGCCAAACTGCTGGAAACTATCAGCCTTTTCAATAACTGTTGCATAAAAGTATTGTTGCAAATAAGTGTTGCAAATGAGTATTGTTGCAAATAAGTATTGTTCCAAATAAATATTGTTGCAAATACAGTAAGTATTTATGTAAACTACTTACATTTTTGGTAGTAAATTATATTGTGATGTTTCTCTGTTATGATAAAGCAGCTGTAACAGTCATTTATTCTGCAAATATGAAACAAAGTAACATTTATGTCAGAAAATAAAAATACAGGAAACTGTAGAAGGTCTATTGGCCTACATGAAGCAGCTTCTATTCATATCTACCCAAACTCATTCACTTTTAGTACGTACATGTCTAACAAAAAAAAACAGCATTGAATGTAATGAAACGCCATGTTCTGGGTAAGCCCCAGAGGCTCCCTGGAGCTTATCAGGCTAATGTATACTATATTAGACCAGGCCATTAGCTATATATATATAGTTCAGACCTACCAGGGACCAGTGCCAGAACCTGGCCCCGTCAGAGAGGTTTAAGGGAGCAATGGGCCCTGGAAACTGCCATCGACCTTATCTGCCATCGACCAGGGTTAGGCACCCTGAAAGGTAGGCATAACAAAACAAACCCCACATGGTAATTAACTAAAACAAAAAAACGAACAGTGGTAGAAACTCCCTATAATCCCAAGGAAACAAACAAACAAGCAAACATCACACCTTACTGCCGAGCCGCTTGTCCGCACAGCCCTCCCCGCGCTCCCTGCCCTGAGAGGGGGAGGGGAGGGCCCCCCGGACCTCACCGAGCTGGCTGCCTAGCACCAGCTCGGAAGCTAAGCTTCTGAGCAACGTGAAACAATTGTCGACCAGTGGGAGGGAGGGTTGCCAGGGAGTTGATGGGGCTCACCCTGAAAATTACGTTTGATTACATTCAACGCTGGTTTTCTGTGGGGAGCCCCTATGGCTCCCTGGAGCTTCATAGCCAAAGAGAAGGAAAAAAAAGTTTGACCCGGGAGGCGACCGCCACAAACTTCGCAATGTGAAGTCGAGACAACAGGCAGCAACTTGCAACCCAAAGCAACACAAGAATGCACAGGAGCAGACACTCACAAAAGAACGGGCAGCCAGGAGCCTGTACGACCCCCAAGTCCTCGTGTCTGAAATGAGCCGTCATCAAACATGGCAGGGAACAAATAAGAACAAAGCAGTTGGTCCAGATGGAGTTTCACCATGGGTTCTGAGAGAATGTGCACCTGAGCTCAGCATTCATCTTCAACTGATTTTTCAGGCATCCCTGTTTACAGGAGTTGTAGCTGATGTGTGGAAAAAGGCTAACATAGTTCCAATCTACAAAAGTGGAAGCAGGAAAGACCCCCTTAATTATAGACCTGTATCATTGACAAGTGTAATAGTCAAAATATTGGAAAAAATAATTAAAACTAAATGGGTAGAATACCTGGAGAGAAATGATATAATATCAGATAGACAGTATGGTTTTCGATCTGGAAGATCCTGTGTATCGAATTTACTCAGTTTCTATGATCGAGCAATAGAGATATTACAGGAAAGAGATGGTTGGGTTGACTGCTTCTATCTAGACCTAAAAAAGGCTTTCGACAGAGTTCTACATAAGAGGTTGTTCTGGAAACTGGAAAATATTGGAGGGGTGACAGGTAAGCTTCTAACATGGATGAAAAATTTTCTGACTGATAGAAAAATGAGGGCAGTGATCAGAGGCAATGTATCGGACTGGAGAAATGTCACAAGTGGAGTACCACAGGGTTCAGTTCTTGCACCAGTGATGTTTATTGTCTACATAAATGATCTACCAGTTGGTATACAGAATTATATGAACATGTTTGCTGATGATGCTAAGATAATAGGAAGGATAAGAAACTTAGGTGATTGTCATGCCCTTCAAGATGACCTGGACAAAATAAGTATATGGAGCACCACTTGGCAAATGGAATTTAATGTTAATAAAAGCCATGTTATGGAATGTGGAATAGGAGAACATAGACCTCACACAACCTATATATTATGTGAGAAATCTTTAAAGAATTTTGATAAAGAAAGAGATCTAGGGGTAGTTCTAGATAGAAAACTATCACCTGAGGACCACATAAAGAATATTGTGCGAGGAACCTATGCCACAATTTCTAACTTCAGAATTGCTTTTAAATACATGGATGGCAATATACTAATGAAATTGTTCACGACTTTTGTTAGGCCAAAGCTAGAATATGCAGCGGTTGTGTGGTGCCCATATCTTAAGAAGCACATCAACAAACTGGAAAAGGTGCAAAGACATGCTACTAAGTAGCTCCCAGAACTGAAGGGCAAGAGCTACGAGGAGAGGTTAGAGGCATTAAATATGCCAAAACTAGAAGACAGAAGAAAAAGAGGTGATATGATCACTACATAGAAAATAGTAACAGGAATTGATAAAATTGATAGGGAAGATTTCCTGAGACCTGGAACTTTAAGAACAAGAGGTCATAGATTTAAACTAGCTAAACACAGATGCCAAAGAAATATAAGAAAATTCACTTTTGCAAACAGAGTGGTAGACGGTTGGAACAAGTTAGGTGAGAAGGTGGTGGAGGCCAAGACCGTCAGTAGTCCTCTCCGTCCTCTCTTCCTTGTCCTTCCCCTTCAATTGTTCATCTGGTCAACCCCTTGCTTCTGGCTCCGAAATGTCTTGAGGGTTTTGGATTCGGGGCAGGGTTTATTTGGTGCTGAAACTCAGGCGGTCTTGGGGGGAATCCCCTTCCGGGGTGGTGGCGGAGGCATTTGAGCCTTGTCCTCCAGCCAGAGCTTCTGGGTCTAACCAGTGGCCCCCCCTTCGTTCTGCTTTTTCGGCTGCTTCTGTCATTTCTTCAGAGGCGGGAAGGTGGGGGGGAGGACTGCTCGGCCCTGGGCTCCTCAGGGTGAGGTTCCCAGGGTGGGGAAGGGGTTGATTTGGGGGCCTTGGGCCCCGTTGGACCCCTCCTGGGTTTTTGTATCCTCAGAGCGGGGCTTGGTGTTACAAGGAGAGGTTCTCTTTCGCTCCCTCCTCGTACGAATTGGATTTGACGTCTACCCCTCCCCAGATTAGGTTCCGTGATCCCATGGGTTCCTCAGTCCCATCCTTCTGGAACTTTTTGGGTTCCCGCGTCCCATCACATGTTGTATGGGAAACCCTTGCGGCTTACCTCCTGCGCAACCCGAATTATGCTTTTGTGATGGATCCGCGTTCCATAATGTATGAATCTTCCTGTACATACTGGGTTCATTATGAACTTCTGGAGTCATCCTGGTTAACAGACTGCCCGCTCTTCTCGTTGGAGGTTTGGCATATGTTGTGTTGGTGAAGTTCTTGAGTGGAGGGAGGCTCAGACGGCATATTACAGGTTTTCTTGGGGGGCGAATTTGAGCATATCAATGCATGTTTGTTCGCCCCTGCCCTTCCATTGGATGTTGGTGTGATGCAGCTTCATGTGCAGGTTCCTCCCCTTTTGGCTGCATTGGTCACGGAGGATATGCGTACACGTGGCCTGCTGGATTTGGTCCTGCGTTTCTTCTCCTTCCTCAAGCTGTCTTCCCTCCTCCTCAGATTGGCTTGAGTTGGATGTGAAGGAGCTTGGGTTTGATGCATTGCCCTTGGTGGTGTGTGTTGTCTGCATTGTTGAAGCTGTTCACGCCCCTCCTGTCGAATGTGGTTTCATGGTTTTTTGCTTCTCAATTTGTATATCAGCAGGCGGTGTTTCCTTGGCATGCACTTTCTTCCTTGGAATCCGCTTGGGCCCTGGCTCTTAGGTTGTCTTTGCCTTTTTGTCCATTGCTGTTGCACAGTCAGCAGTTGTGCAGTATCTGCAGGCAGCTTCAGCTAGTTGCTGTCCTATGTCAAGACTTGTTAGTCCTCCAGGGGGCTCATTGGGGACCTTCCCTGAAGGGTTGTGCCAGGGTTCAGGGTTCTTCCTGTTGTGGTAGGCCACTGGTGCCAGATTCAGTGCAGGCACAGCCTTCGGTACCATCTGTATTTCGTCGGCGTGGAGATCGGACTGTGTGCTGCTTAGGTTCTCATAAGGTGCATCAGCTCTTTTGCAGTTTGTCCCATTGATGGGGCAATGGAGGGGGGGGGGTGGAAGCTCACTCTGTTTGCTCGCACCTGGTCCCATGATTTGTGGGCCTTTTGGGTTGATTCGTGGAGCCTACAGTGGCATTGGGTGGCTCCTCCTCCTTTGGGGGATTTTTTTGACTGGTGGGGCAGGCTTCTTCTCCTGCGCTCTGTCAAGTCATCTAAGAGTGAATTCACTTGGGCATGGTTGAAACGACCTCATCTCTCTCAGGTGGCTTTCCTGCCTGTTTGCAGTCCCAAAACGAGACTGTGCTGACTTCCAGTTCATTCTGGACTTGTCCCGTCTGAACCCGTGGGTTTATTGCCCCTTCTTTCGGAGGACTACTCTGTCCTAGGTCCATCTTCTGTTGGAGCTGGACGCTTGGCTCGGTGTCCAAACCCGAGGGTCTTCCCGCGGCTCCGCCTCTTTCAGCAGCTCGGTCCAGCCTGGTACGAGGCTGGTTCGTTCTTCTCCTTGAGCCTTCACATTTGGAGTTTCTGACTTGAGTCTATCATCACTTGCATGGAGTGCTGGTGACTTCGCTGTTGGTCTCCCACCTGTGTGCTTCATCTCGGCAGCAGTATGAAGTTTCCTGGCAGACCTTCCAGTTTTTCCTATATATTTCCAAACATAGAATTCTCCCAACCACCCGGAGGGTTTCTATAGGTCATTGCTCCTCGTGCCTCTCTGAGGGGGCCCAGATTCTGGCTCGTGGTCCCCGGTAGGCAAGAACTCCATGCACTTTGACTGATGCCAGAAAGCTAATAATTCCATATAAGCCTGGATAGCTCTGGGAAGCCTCCGGGACTCACCCAGAAAATGTCATTTCATTAAATTCAATGCTGGTTTTTTTATTGTCTTAAATGAAGCAATATACAAATGCCTGATCAAAACATCTCCAGTTGCAACAAATCTCTCACTTCCAATGAATCTGAACCCCATGTAGTTCAACGAATCATGGCTGCATTGTACAGTATATTTAAATTAATTTTTATAGCCACACATATAGTAGACATTATTGTTATATAATTGTAATTTTTCATGTAAAAAGAACCTGATTATTGTACAGTAATATAATACTTACTCTTTCATGAGGAAATTGTTGCCCAAGGAGGTTGTACAGATGCTTTCTCCAAATTTGTTTTCACTGATAGTGTAATCTTTATCAGCAGTCCACCAATCACCAGTCCAATTAAATGGAAGTTCACAGCTGTCTAACCATAGGATTGTCACAGTGAGTAAAGTATGAATTAATTATTTTTCTTGGATATTACTGCAGTTTAATAATAAAGTAAATAATAGTAGAGGTGAGGGTTTTACTTCAGTAAACTCATCATCAATTATAAGTTAACTGAAGGCATATATTAATAATAAAACTATTTGATCGCACAAAGGCAATTAAAGGTACTGTATACCAGTTTTCTGTGCCAGAATATCTTACAATTAACCCCCTGCACTGCACACATGTTAATTAAATGTTCCAGTTCTGTGGTGTTTAAACAAAAAATTCAGAAAAAATAATAACTAGCATAGAATGTAATGAAACGCCATTTTCTGGGTGAGACCCGAAGGCTCCCCAGAGCAATACCAGGCTGATGTGTATATATTAGACCGTGGTAACAGTCAATCGATGGAGTTCTAGGCCTACCGGAGACCAGAGCCAAAACCTGGCCCCCTCAAGAAGAGGCACAAGGAGCAATGGCCTAAAGACACCCCTGTATAATTGGATGGTAGTCTTTGTCTGCCATCTACCAGGTCAGGCAACCAGAAAGATAGGAATTCAAAAATAAACTACTGCTGGTGAAAAACTGCAAACAAAAAGCCGAACTAGCAAGCAGAACTCCCCAATCAAAAACAAGCATGACTTCAGCACAACCGCTGCGCATCCTTCTGTGTAACCCCCAACCTCTCCCCAGGAGGGGGACAGGGGGGGGGTCTCAGACCTCCACGCCAGCTACTCTCCTCGGTTCAGAGGCTGAATATAAAAAAAAAAACACCGACAGGAGGGAGTGAAGGATGCTGGGGAGCCTTTGGGTCTCACCCATGAAATGGTGTTTCATTACATTCAATGCTGGTTTTCTGTGAAGAGCCCCTTTGGCTCCCCGAAGCCACCTAACCAAAGACAAAGAAGAAAAGGGACTTACCTGGGAGGTGGTTGTCACGTGCTCCTTAACTTGAAGTCGAGACAACTGGCTCCAACCTGCAACCCAAGGATACACACGCCTGAGAAGGGCCAGGAACATTAACAAGGTATGGTGTGGCCAAGACCCAGTTCGACCTCCAAAAACCCCTGCTCGAACGTCATCCCAGGACATATTACCAAAACCCGCAGCCAAAGACTCGAACGTATGAATATTGTGGGCACGAGGATAGACTGCAGGCTGGCTGGATCAAATAATCCAGCGGACAGCCTGGGAGACCTGCACCCTGGAACAGGAAAGAAGGAAAACTGGGTCTACTCAAAGCGCATCCCCTGCCATGGAGGCCGTTGCATGCAAATAACGGCGAAGGGGCGCAACCGGACCACAAAAAATGATGCTCCCCCGGCCGAACCAACCAAGTATCAACAACCCAAGGACCCCTCGAAAAGCAGCAGACTCATTCTTTGTCAGAAAAGAAGGAGACGGCTGCAAACGAATGAAACGACCACCAGGACCAAAAGAAGAGAAACCCCTGTGCAAAAGGAGAGCATGAAGCTCCCCGACCCGGCCCACAGAGGCTAATGCCACCAAGAAAAGAGCCTTTAAAAAACAACCCTAAACCGAGAGGGCCACCACAAACAGAGGAATAGAGAGAAAATGAGAGCACCTGGTTCAACAACCAGGATGGCTCAGGCAGCACATAAGCAGGCTGGAGGTGAAATAATGCCCAAGAAAGCTTGCAGAATGGAGCAGAATTGACATCCACCCCAAATGAAAGCTGCAGCGGCTCCACTAGCACCGCACGATACGAGGCGACAGAATTTGGCATAAGATGACGGTCCTGAAACAACCAAGAGAGAGAAAGAACGAAACAACTAGAAATCAAAGACAACCTACGTAGAGACAAAAAGTGCTGAAAGGACCATCAGGAAATTTCATACTGTCATCAAGATGAAACTCGCAGGTGGGACACCATCAACAAAGTCACCTGATCACCATACAAGTGGTGATAAACCCGCATCAAAAAGACTAGATGTGAAGAGTGGAGAAGAAGATCGAACCAGCTATGTACCAGACCGGACCGCTCCGCCTCTTTCTGCTGAAAGAGGCGGAGCAGCAGGAAGACCCTCAGGTTCAGACATCGAGCAAGAAGCGCCTGAAATCAGGGCTGGGCCGGCCACCAAAGAGCCAACAGGACTACTCTCCCCTGGTAAGTCTCCAAGCGAGCCAGGACCTGGATTATCAACCAAACCGGTGGGAATACAGGTAACCCCACCTCAACCAGTCCAGCCGAAAGGCATCGAACTCGACGGTCTCGCAGTCTGGGAAGGACGCCACATGCACTGGAAAATGCCTCAAGAATGCCGATGCGAAGAGGTCCACCTCCGTGCGCCTGTACGTCTGGCAGAGCCAACTGAACGAGTAGGCGTCGAAAGTCCATTCCGTCGATAGGGGAATGAACCGAGACAGGCGGTTCATTTCCACCTGTCTCTGGTGTCCGTTCAGGCAGACACCAGAACGTTTGACACCCCCCTGAATGTAAACTGCCAGGGAAGCCAAACCCCAAGAACTCAGCAGACGAGTCACCCAAAGCGATCAGCGCCAAAGAGCCAAGGGCCGCATCGAACCCTGTCGGTTCAGACAATGAACCACAGGGGTGCAGTCCAAATGGAGCCGGATTGTTGCTCGGTGAGTGACATGAAACCTCTGAAGCGAATGCCACATCGCCACAAACTCCCACGCTGTGCTGTGAGTCCGACAGAAGGACGGATCCCACCGACCCTGGCCGGCCAGGTGAGCAATGGTTACGAAACCAAACCCAGTGATTGCGAGAGTGGCGGAAGGGACATCCCCAAAGAAACCAGAACAGCCATCGAAGCCAGATCCGACCCAACGGGTAGACCAGCACGGCGAAGTACAAGCTCTTGCACAGCTGCTCAGGGAGATCAGACCAACTGGGAGATCATTTATGTAGACAATAAACATCACTGGTTCAAGAACTGAACCCTGTGGTACTCCACTTGTGACATTTCTCCAGTCCGATACATTGCCTCTGATTACTGTCCTCATTTTTCTATCAGTCAGGAAATTTTTCATCCATGTTAGAAGTTTACCTGTCACCCCTATAATATTTTCTAGTTCCCAGAACAACCTCTTGTGTGGAACTCTCTCGAAAGCCCTTTTTAGGTCCAGATAGATGCAGTCAACCCAACCATCTCTTTCCTGTAATATCTCTGTGACCCGATCATAGAAACTGAGTAAATTTGATACACAGGATCTTCCAGATCGAAAACCATACTGTCTGTCTGATATTATATCATTTCTCTCCAGGTGTTCTACCCATTTAGTTTTGATTAGTTTTCCAATACTTTCACTATTACACTTGTCAATGATACAGGTCTATAAATGAGGGGGTCTTCCCTGCTTCCACTTTTGTAGATTGGAACTATGTTAGCCTGTTTCCACACGTCTGCTACGATTCCTGTACACAGGGATGCCTGAAAGATCAGGTGAAGTGGAATGCTGAGCTCAGATGCACATTCTCTCCGAACCCATGGTGAAACTACATTTGGACCAACTGCTTTGTTTTTACTTAGCTCCTTTAGCATATTTTCCACTTCATCTCTAGACACCTCTATGTGCTCTATGTTCTCTGGAATTCTTATTGTGTCTGGTTCTCTGAAGATCTCATTTTGTACAAACACACTTTGGAACTTTTCATTTAATGTTTCATACATTTCCTTTTCATTTACTGTGTATCTGTCCCCCATTTTCAACCTCTGAATATTATCCTTTACCTGCAGCTTACTTTTAATGAATTTATAGAAAAGGTCTGGATCTGATTTACATTTGTCTGCTATACTGTTCTCAAAATTCCTCTCTGCCTCTCTTCTTACTGACGTGTAGTTGTTTTTTGCATCTTTGTATCGCTGGTATGTTTAGGGGTTTGGCCTCTTTCTATAATGATTCTATGCTTGTGTCTTTTGATGTCTGGCCCTCTAATGTGTGTGTGTGCTGCTCAGAAAAGCATTTTTCATATTACCAGAGAGACTTAGATTTATATTAACAAATTTATTTAATCCAAAAATATTTGGCAACAAAATGTGCAAAATTTGGTTCTATTATGTGAATTACAAAATATAATTGTTAAAAATTAGCCAAGTAATGAATATAACAAAATACTGGATACAACATATGGATCAGGAATGAATTGCTCTACTGAATGAATTAACTGAATGAATGAATTTGTTGATAAGGTTTCCATTATATTCTGATATATTTACTTAAAAGAGTGCATTACTTGCCCCTGTTTTGAATTTAAAAATATTTCACAGTTACAATATAGTTTTTGCTCTTTTTCACCTCATACTACCTTAAAGTTATTAAAAGGATAATTACCATATTGAGGCGGGTGAGCCATGGAGAGGAAGATCTGCCGTGTGACCAGTGTACTGTTTTCATTGTTCAAGGAACAAGTATAAACACCTGCATCATTAACTTGCACACGACTGATTATAAGATCATACCTGGTGCTACCCTCCACACTTCTATCAGTTTCTAATGAAAATCTGGTTGAGTTAATATGTATCACATCTTCATCAAAGGTTATATTTTCAACTTTATTGTTAACTTCACGTGTCCACTTCAAATACTGTGGTAAGAAGAGAATGCATAAACATTATTTATATATATATATATATATATATATATATATATATATATATATATATATATATATATATTTTTCAATACCAAGGAAACAGAAAATATATATATATATATATATATATATATATATATATATATATATATATATATATATATATATATATATATTTATTTCACATTAGCAATGCAAAAATTTAGTAACACTTTAGTCAATCAAAGTATCCACAGCAGTATATTCTGCATTTCATGATATATGTTAGGTGCAATGTATGCCACATGATTTATCATACAATGTAAATCATAAATTTATGCATTTAAAAAATGATAACTACTCACATATTTCCTGAAGAAGTATACTTCATCCTGCAAATAAAAAAAAACCAGCGTTGAATGTAATGAAACACCATTTTCTGGGTGAGCCCCGGAGGCTTCCTGGAGCTTATCGGGCTAATGTACTTTATATTAAACTGGGACATTAGCTATGGAGTTTAGACCTACTAGGGACCAGAACCAGAACCTGGCCCTTTCAAAGAGGTTTCAGGGAGCAATGGCCCTGGAAAACCCTCTTGTGGTTGGGGATTTTCCTTATCTGCCATCGACCGGGGTTAGGCACCCAGAAAGGTAGGCATAACAAAACAAACCCCACATGGTAAGAAACTAAAACAGAAAAATGAACAGAGAGGTAGAAACTCCCTACAATACCAAGGAAACAAGCAAACAAGCAAACATCACACTTTACTGTTGCACCGCTTGTCTGTGCAGCCCTTCCCTCCCTGAGAGGGGGAGAAGGGGGGGCCCCGGACCTCACCGTGCCGCTTGTCTAGCACTCCAGTTCAGAAGCTAAGCTTCAATCCCACACGAAAAACCGCCAACCGGTGGGAGGCATGGTTGCCAGGGAGCCTCTGGGGCTCACCCAGCAAATGGCATTTCATTACATTCTACGCTGGTTTTCTTTGGGAAGCCCTTACGGCTCCCTGGAGCTACATACCTAAAGAAAAGGAAATGAAAAGGCTCGACCCGGGAAGCGGTCGACACAAACTCCGCAACATGAAGTCGAGACAACAGGCAGCAACTTGCGACCCAAAGTAACACAAGAAATCCCAGGAGCATACACGCTCACAAAATAACGGGCAGCCAGAAACCTGTGCGACCTCTAAATCCCTGCGCCTTAAATAAGCCCAAGACATGTTACCAAACACGGCAGCGAAAGCTGCAAATGTCCGAATGGCACATGCGCAAGGATAGGCCACAGGCTGGTAGACTTAAGAACCCTGCAGATGACCTGGGAGACCTGAGTCCTGGAACAGGGAACAAGGGGAGCCAAATCAACCCAAAGCGCATCCCCAGCCACGGCATGTAGGTAACGGTGAAGAGCCGCAACCGGACACAACCCATGACGCACCCCTGGCCGAACCAACCAAGCATCAATAACCCATGGACCCCTCCTGACAGCAGCCATCTCGGCCTTCACCAGAAAGACGGAGAAGGCTGCAAATATACAAACCTACCACCAGAACCAAAAGAGCAGAAACCCCTGCGCAGGTGAAGAGCCGGAAGCTCCCCGACCCGACCCGCAGAGGCCAATGCCAACAAAAATATGGCCTTTGAAAAAAAATCTTGAACCAAAAGGGCTACCACAAACTGAGGAGAGGAAAGATGAGAAAGCACCCTGATCAAGGACCAGGATGGCTCAGGCAGCGCATGAGCAGCCCAGAGGTGAAACAAAGCACGAGAAAGCGTACTGAATGGGACAGATGTGACGTCCACCCCAAACGCAAGCCGGAGCGGTTCAGCCAGCGCCGCACAATATGAGGCGAGAGTAAGAAGCATCAATTAACGGTTCTGAAAACCAAGAATGGACAAGACAACCCGATGCGACAGAAAAGACAATCTACGGAGAGCAAGGAAAAAGGAGAAAAGAAATGCCAGGAAACTACATAATGTCGCCGAGACAAACCTTGCAGGTCGGACACCATCAACAAAGCCACCTGATCACCATAGAGATGGTGATACACCTGCATAAAAAAAACAGACACGAAGAGCTGAGGAGAACACCGAATCAGCCATGTACCAGACCAGTCCGACCTGCCAAAAGAGGCGGAGCTGCGGGAAACGCCTCGAGTTTGGACCCTGATCAAGCAGCGTCTGAAAACAAAGCTGGGTCGGCCACTAAGGGGCCACGAGGACTAGACACCTTGGGAAGGACTCTAAACGAGCCAGAACCCGAGGCAATAGCTGAACTGGGGAAAGAGGTACAGTTAACTCCACCTCGACCAGTCCTGCTGAAAGGCATCCATCGCGAATGCCTCATAGGTGGGAAAGGGGTGCCACATAGAATAGGAGACACCGAGACCACGCCGACGTGAAGATGTCTACGTCCGGGAGTCCGTACGTTCGGCAAAAGCAATGACGAGTCGGCGACGACCGGCCAATCCATGAACAGAGGGATGAAACGAGACAGGCCATCCGCCAGGACGTTGAACACTCCCTGGACATGAACCGCATGGAAAACCAAACCCTGAGAATCCAACAGATGAACCACTCGAAGGGACCAACCCCAAAGAGGCAAGGACCGAAGAGAACCCCGCGGTTCCGGCAAAGAACCACCAGAAAACAGTTCAAATGGAGCTGGGTGGTAGAGCCCCGAGTGACCTGAACCCTCTGAAGTGCACACCAGACAGCCGCGAACTCCTGAACCGTGCTGTGAGCCCGACTGAAGGACTGAAGGAGCCCACTGCCCCCAGCCGGCCTGGTGAGCACTGGATGCAAAACCCCAGCTGAGAGACGACTTGTCTGTGAACACATCGAGCGAAGGCTCGGGGAGGCGCCAAGGCACGGAACCCCAAAAACCCCAAAGAGGAAGCCGGCGACACTGCACCAACATAAGGTCCCCAGAGGACGAACCCAACGATCGTGAGAGAAGCAGAAGGAGCATCCCCGAAGGAACCAAAACAGATGCCGAAGCCAAACCCAATCCGGTGGGTAAACCAGCATAGTGAAGTTCAGACTCCCTCACAACCGCTCGAGCAACTGCCAAGTGACCCAGGACCCCCTCAGAAACAGCCGTAGGTGGGACCGCAGGCGCATCAACGCTTCTGGAGGGAGAGACAAAGAAGCGGTCCAAGAGTCCTAAACAAGACCCAGCAAGGTTTAAACCCGGGACAGAACCAGATGGAACATCCTCCAGTTTAGCAGAAACCTGAACACGGCAATCTGGAAAGAACCATACCCATGGCAAGCAGACAGGCGGACCGACTGGGAGCCCACACCAGCCAGTTGTCAAGGTAGGCCAAAAACCAAATCCTGAGCAGACGCATACAGGTCACCAAGATCCGGTAAAGATGCGTAAATACATCAAGTACCAATTGCAACTAGGGAAGGCAACAAAAGCGGCAAGCCTGAAGCCCCACCACCAACTGTGCCAGTCCCGGAACCCTGCAAAGGAATGTGCCAAGAAGTGACCCAGAGGTCCAAGGACATCATCCAGGCACCCGGCCCCCAAAAAAGCCGGACCAGAGACAACTTTCTTCCGAGGAGGGCACAGACTTAAAAAGTCCAGAAGAACCGCAGATCCACAAAATCTCGTGTCTGCATTAGAACAAGCGGGAACCTTGGAAGGATGGGCGGATCGACCACGTCCAAACGTGCCCACACACATATGACATGACGAAGCGCAGGGGAAGAAGCCCACCCCACCAGCCCCAAACCACCCCCAAAGGGGGAGAAACCACCCGACGCCACCAGAGGCCGGAAGACACCCAAAAAACACCCACAAACTGCAGAACCAGACGAAAGCCATAAGAGCAAGCTGTCCCACCCACCCCCCAAGCGCTCTGTCCACAGCGAAGGGAACAGATCCCTATCCAAAAGAAAATGTATATATATATATATATATATATATATATATATATATATATATATATATATATATATATATATATATATATATATATATATATATATATATATATATACAGTATACACATATACATACATAAACAAAATGTATGAAGACATACACACATTCACATGAAAATAAAAATTAAAAAATAAAATCAAGAAAGAAAAGAAAAAGACAAGCCGCCAACCAGTGGGCAGAAAGCACCACGCCGGCCAGACGAAGAAGGCACCAAGAGAGCACAAAAACTGCACCAAAAGGCCCACCTCGACAACAAAAACTCAAGGCCCCGGCACGACCACAACACGTGCCAAGACCTAAAAAGACTGACCATCTTTTTGGTCTGCATGGCCTGCAAGCCATGAAGACCCCCGGAACCCCAGAAGGCAGAACTGGGTCACACACGAGGTAACAAAGCCCCCTGAACCCCCAAAAGGGGTCCAAGAGGAAGAAACCTCTGGAACAAAACCAAAGAACCCAAAGGAATCAGAAATCGAACCCGGGGAGCCCAAACTACCACATTTGCCGATGGAATTTCACCACAGATGGGCAAAGCACAGTGTCCAGACAGAACCCCCAAAGAAACGGCCAAAACAGACCGAAAACAGAGGGACAAGGTGTGGGAGCAAGCATAAACAGACAAGGACACTGAGCCCAAACCCTGGGGCCCAGACCCAAAACAGACAAAAAATGCAAAAACCGGTGTTAAAAACCAACACCCAAACGTTCCCAGAGGAACAGAAGATGGGCATAACATCCCAGAAAAGCAAAGAAATGGCAACAGGAGGATAAAACCCCTGAAAGAGGTGTAAAAACTCACCCAAAATGCGAGCTTCCACACCCCGGCATAGGTAAACAAACCGCAGCACCGCCGGTGGCCAAGCAGGGAAAAGTAATTCGCTGAAAGCAAATGGCTTTCAGCGAATTACCACGGCTCCAGAACAAGGAGCCGTGACCAATGCAATAGATCCGAAAACATGCCAGCAAATGTAGGAAGCAAGCAGACGAGAGGGACGAAAAACCCCGCCAAGAAGCAGAAAACCCAAGCAGGCGCAAACAGTCCAGAACTGCTAGCGGGCATCCCCCACAGCCCCGGGAACCCACAACAAAGGCCCCGGGGCAGAGCATCCTCCATGCCCTCTGCCCTTAAAGAAAAGGAAGAGTCCAGGGGGAAAAGTAGCAAAGAAAGGCCCGCTGGTAAGACCCAGAAGCGTTGGCAGGAGGAACAGGCTTGAAAACCTCCGTCTCCAACCCGAACGGGGCAGCCCCTGAAGCCGCCCGAGTCTCGGCACCAACTAAACCCCACCCCGACCCCGAAACTCGCAGATGGTCAGGAGCTGGGAACAGGGAGGGAAAGGGGCAAACAGCACCTAACCAAAATGGGGCGGCCCCGGGGCATCCTGGAGGGAAACCAACCTAGCACGTTGCAGTAACCTAAACCGAGCTTGCAACGCGGATGCCGCCT